GCTTGGCAAGTGTAATTGTTTGATAATTTCAAATAGCATTAGCAATTACTTTCTGTATAATTGGCAATGATGCATTGAAAATTAATTCAATTGAGTTATGAGTTGGAGTCACATACATATGTACATACTCGTATAAGAAAATTTGCTTCAACTTTTCTTCCCTTTCTTGTAACGAAATTGACTCGAATCTATTTCTTACTGCAAAACATTCATAACCTAAAAAATTTATTATGCAATTTCTGGTAGAACTACTAGTATTATACATATATATACTAAAAATTTAATAATTTTTCTACGGTTATTTGATGTTTGCGATGAATTATATCCGAGTTGCCAATAATCCGGCAATCCTGTCTTATACATATAATGTCCGATGGAGTTTAAATTCAATTCGAGGTAAAGTAGTGGCGGCTGTAATAAAAGATTGTTTAACAGTGCGTACTATCATTCGGAAGGCCATGGTTCGAGTGCTCGTCCGACCAACATCCAAAAATATAAATAATTAATTTTCTTAATTGCTGTCGCCCCTCAGCAGGGAATGTCAACCCCTCGATAATATTTCTCACATGAACTAATATCTATGATAAAAATCCAATGATCGTTCAAAGGCTGCTTAGAACAAATTGTGGTTCCTGTAATTATTGAAAAAAATCCCCAAGTCGCCACACCTTTTATTGTAGCTTGAATTCCTCTTTCTCAGAAAGGGGAAAGGGATATGTAGATTATTTTGCCCGTCTATACCTTGTTATACTTACTTCGCTGCAATGTCGATTGATGGTAGCTCGAGAGTCTTTCGAGTGCACGAGGCGAGAGCATGCTGCCTAGCTACTCGCTCAGAAAAGCGTCTCCAAATCGCATGGCCCACCAATTGGAAATGCGAAGATATGGAAGAAAGGAAAACTTTAGGAGTACGTAGTTAAAGGACGTAGAGACTAGTTTTTAAGAACTCTTCTACAACTAACGGTCGTCCAAAAAAATCTCTAAAATCCGAACTGGTGGAGAAATCTACTTAGGGAAATTGTTGAGGCTTTAATTTTGTATCATTTACGGTTTCACTTCAGCTGAAAAATAAAGCTAAACAAAGTGTTTATCTTCTTTTTGTTCAATTTATTTATCTGTAATTAATCTGTACAGTTCTACATCCATTGTGATCTAAAATCACGATCGAAATGCAAGTCGAATTTGAAACTACTACAATATGTTCCGCCTGCTTCCATATGTTGAAATCCCATTCGGTTCATACGATTATTGTATTAATTAATTATCTTTCTTACGAATACCGATATGTTCACGGATGTTGTAATTCGGTTAAGGCGATGCAAACAGCCCTTTATAACCAGTGAATGTACTTTCGGCAGAGCTAATTCTCATATAATGTAAAATTGATCGGAAGTACGTTCGGAGGGCTTGACATTGCCTGCCGATTAATAATCTATTGTACGCTATAGACCAATTAGAAGACACTAAATCAGTGCTTTTAAATTAAAAAAAATATATACAAAATATGATATTGCATTTACATTGCGTTCCTCCTATTTTCTTTTCAACTGCTTTCTTTGTTTATATATTTTTGTTTACAAATAGCAGACGAGCTGAAATCTAATCAGTTCTAAAGAGCAGCCTATCAACAGGTACAGGTCAAGCCAAAAAGGCCAAGTGAATACATTTAATTTTTATTAAGCGATTAAAATATTTGAAAATCGTAAATAAATATTGAGGGAATTCCAAGGGGAAGAATATATCTGTTTATATATAAGAATGTTAAAATGAATGTTTCCAATGTTTTATGGCAATAAAAATCTTTAAGAAACATCTAATAATAATAATGATAATAAATAAGTGAAACGTATATATGTGTGCAAGTACTTTTGAACAAAACTTGAATAAATTTATTAACATTGTGCAAATGGAATTTCCTTTAGCTCTATCTTTGGCTCATGAACCCTAACTTTAATTGCGGGGCTAAACGCTTCTGCTATCAGCGTACGTGCCTTGCTCTTATCAATACGAATATCACGAAATATATTATATATTTTGATTATATAATAATACAAATGTACACAACAACTTACCAATTTATTTTTGATCACTTTTTAGTAATTTACTTTTAACAAATTGTTATTGATCCATATAATTTATTGGCATTTAAATTTTATTTTCTTTAATTAAATGGAGAATGAAATGGCGACGAAATGATAGAAAACAAAACTAAGATATCAAGAAGACCTCAGAGAGCAAGAATAATCAATAATCATATCAATCTCTTGTCTGTTCCCAAATCTAAAATTATAGAAATTAATTTGGGGGACAACTACAACAATGGCTTGCATTTACAGTGAGCAAATGTGTCTCTTCAGAGATATTTCGTACACGATTGCTGAAGTAGGGATCTCGAACTTGTGTCTCCCCGTTAGTATCATGCACTTCTATTCGCACGGCTACTTATGGCATTTTCTCCATATATTGTAATTAGTCGATATTTCCCTTGCTCAATTTACCATTGTTGTCAATATAAGTTTATAATAAATATTACGTCCCCTAGATAAATCATGATTTGCGCACTGCTGCTTTCGGAGCTAATAAATAGAACGGAGCAACAATAAGACAATAACACCCCCGGTACTCTTATGCCTCTCTGATGCTACTACTATTTCCATTGCAGTTTTGGAGGGTCCCCATCCAAGATAACACTGATTGTAGATCATGGACTTCTCATCTAATAAAATCAGTGTTGCCAACTCTCGTTTTACACTCCCACTTATTTCATGTAACCTCAGTGAATGAAAGATTTTTTTATATTAGGAAGAAGAAATTTTAAGAGATAGGCAGAAGACCAGTAATCTATGTTTAGCTAAGGTAGCTAAAGATCATAATCGGAAACAATCTGATTGGTACTGGATTTATCAGGTAAATAAGGTTTTATTGAAGAATCTCTTAAGGCCTACACCACTGTGCTTGTTAGCCATATGAAAACTAGTAAGCGATTACCCATTCCTAAGGAAAACTTCTCCAGAACTTTTGCTTCTTTTGGTCACTTCGCTCCAAGGTCGTATTTTTTTATAAAGCTCATCGGTCCAACCTTTTTATAACACATTATACTCGTACACCCATCACTTGGATCTCAGACTCTCTGTCACCATCGACCGCCTCAAACCTTTCAGTTCCTTCAAATATTGTTTAACAGCACTTACGGTTCTAACGTGCGGCGATCCGCCAAGGTACTGCGGGGCAAAGTAGATTGCAGGCAAACTAAACTTTTCCTAGCACTAAGCACAAGAGAACATAGGATTATTATATGTCTACATATATATAAAAGGCGCTTTATAACCACTGACCGAGCTCCTCCTCCGATTTGTGGTTTTACGTCTTGATGCTTTTCCAACAAATGGAGGGATCTACAGTTTATGCTAAGCCGCCTCCGAACGGCTAATGGTTTTTTATGAGGAGCTTTTAATTTTTATGTCAGAAATAAACTCGGAGGAGTTGACGTTCGCTGCCGAGGGGCGACCGCTATTAGAAAATTTAGCTCTAAGTTTTTATTTAAATTATTTTTCTATACATTTTTGGATGTTAGTGCGGCACCAGTATTTGAACCCGATCCTTCCGGCAGTACGCAATGCTAGCCCCAAGGCTCCCGCGGCCGGCAGTATTCTTATAGGTATACTAAAAAATGCACCCCAAAAGCTAGCAATCGACGGAGTGTAGAATCACAGAGGAAGATGAAACGCTCAAATCCATTACGGTGCGCTGTGCTCCAGCCTTATAAAGATGAGTGCGCGGGGAGATAAGAAACTTAATGAATTTATTAAGCTGAGAGAACTTTTTGCAAATGCATCATTGGGATACTTTGCTTTCAGTCAACCAACCAGTTATGCTTCCTTCTCCAAGTTAATCTGTTTGTTCTGGCGGCAAACATCTGTACAGATCTCAGATTCAGTGAATGCCATATGAATACCTCTCTTTATTGTAATCGTGTATTGTATTGGAAAACGTGCTTGGTATCCCGGATAATTCGAACAGTTTCAGTTCATATGAGAAGCTTTCACTGCAAACGCTTAATTTTCCGATTATCCGAAAAAAATTGATTGTCCCTTTTTAGTGAGATATCGCGTGTCGAATATCGGGCCAAACGTTCCTACCCTGTAGTGAGAGCGACTACTTGGCAAAAGAGTCTCTCTCTCTCCTTTCCAACGCATTTTTGCCAGCTCATCTTTAATTTATGCCCGGGAAGGAAAGGTACAAGAGTCTTGTAACGTGACAACACAGCCGTTCCCTTTAATTCTAGTTTCCGTATGGAAGATATTTGATCATTTGGTAGTATCTTTAATCGTCTAATTCAATGAAACTTTCGGATTTCCAAAAAATTTCAAAACTAACTTCCAGTTATTGTTATCGTAATCACGTAAGCCGGGAATAAATATTCTGGATGGGTTGGGTTGGGTTAGGACGGCTGCCCTCAGAGACGCAATTGCTGGTTATTCTACTCACACGTGCCATAAATTAGCCATAAATCAGTGAAAATATTCTAGCAGGCGATTTGTTAATTTATAACCCCATAAATGCATAACTAATGCACAGTCGAGCATTAAATGTTTTTTTTTTTAATTAATATCGTATAAGGCAGTGTATTTTTTTATTCAAATGCTAGTTCAGAATTGATGGATCGTTATTGTGCCTTGAGTAAATGCTGTCCAATTGCAGGGTTCGAGTAGGCGCCAGCATCGTCGTGTACAGTTGAATTCGTGTGTGTGTAACATTTGAGCTCGAATAACTGGGCGAAACCTGCTTGAATTTCTACGAACTGACAGGCAGCATTTGTCGCCCAGCTCTTCTGCGCCGTTAGAAAATCTCGTACTATGCGTGTTAATAACCCCGGCAAGCGAGACGGCCGCCAGACGCAAGCGTTTGTTATCTTTCACTTACCGAACTCAGCTTTTCATTGTTGCCGCCGTTAAACATCTAATAGAGCTCAATGCAAAAGCATCGTTATAAGATTTTGTATAAAAGCAAAAGCATTGGATTTGGAAATCATTGCAACAGCAACATTTACAACATGAAGTTCACTCTTTTATTCGGCTTTGTGCTGGCTTTGATCGCCTTGGCTTTCGGTGAGTACATATTCAAGCGAACTGCTTACAATCCTGCTGCAGGAGTTTAAAACCACAAAAGCAAATTAATAAAAACAAATGTTAAATTACTTAAAAAAAACAATGTTCCTTATATTTGCAGCTAACCCCAACCCGATGCCCAACCCTGAACCCTTGCCCGGCGGTGGTGGCGGCGGCGGCGGCGGTGGCGGTTTCGAGCAAGAGCTTGGCGGCGGTGGTGGTGGCGGTGGCGGCGGTGGCAAATAAACTTACCTGCCAGTTCCAATACATATATACTCGTCGACGAAATTATCTCTTCTAGTTTATGTTTTCTTCAATAAAAAATAATTGTCCCCACAACGGAAAATATTTACTCTTTTTTTAGTTGACTTAAACTGTACTTGAAGGGTTGATTGTATCTTTCTAAATTTCTCTGCAGGAATATTATATTGAAAGCTTATTTTTTCAAGCTTATGTTTAGAGCAAATTTTTCAATAATATTACATATTCAGAATCGAAATTAGCGCGTTGTTTAATGAATGCTAATACGAGTAATGTGCGGCACAGCTTTACGTGTTTTTATATTTTTAAATACTTTTTATTGGCTGAAATTTGCTGGCAATGGGATCTGTATAGCTTTACCGACATAAAAATATGAACAACTTATTCTCTCCATCGGAAAGTATAAAACTTTGTGGGATAATTCTTAGAAATATATAATATTTATTTGCGATCGGAATGGCGAAACATTTCTCTTCGTCCTCTTTTTCAGTGGCGAGTTAACAACAGTGCGTCATTCCTTCCTTCTTTTCGATGTGTGGCTCCATATTCTGCACGTCCTTCGCCGCCTTATTAAATACAATAGCTTAGTCAGTAAATAATATTATCTCTCGTCGATTTGCTATTCTTAAAGCGGCAAACGTTATTCGAATACCGTCATAATACTGGAGTGTCTGTTCCATCATCGACTTTTGGGGACTCGGGTTCACAATCCCCGGTTTTGCGCAACCCTGCCTATAAACTGGCTGGAGAAGTGTTCCTTCCATAAGCTCAGTGCGCTGTGGTCATAGGTCACCAGTTTACGTTATTGGTTACTATATAAATATGCTTCAGTTTTAAAATCTTCTGCAAGTAGTCGCATCTATCATATGATTTTCGATTCGACTAGATTCGCAAGCCTCTTATACTCACGCATTAAGCCCTCTTTTTTTCTGCGGTTGTGAGATGCTTTCATTTTTAGCTCTCTGAAGATGACAAAGTCGCCATGTACAATTTTGACATAGTGCGAATTGGGGCAAGATATTCAGCCAAAAAGGCTGAAAAACAACAAAGTTGCCCAAGGAGCCACGTTATTTTGTCCTTATCCCATCAACCGGCTGAACACCGACACCTTCCTTTACATCTCATTCCAGGCATATTTAATTAAACCCACAATATCGTAGGTTGAAGCATGTTAAAAAAGCTTTTGTAGCAGAAAACACTCCAAGTAACCATTTCCAAATTACAGGACGGCTGAAAGAATTTTCACGTATGGAATGGGGCACACGAAGATCACACACGAGCAGCTGCTGAAAAAGGAGTCCGCTTCTTCATGCCTAACTTGTAATAGCCCACTGTCCATTCATCACATCATCGATGACTGCCTAAACTTTCGAAACGCAAGAATAAATATTTTCCATAATAAAAAGCCAACTGATCTCTTAAAAAATTTAACGGCAAACAATGTAAAAAATATATATATTTAAATTCATATATCAATGTAACCTTTTACACCACGTTTAAGTATTGTATAAACTATTTCTAAGGCTACTTGATAAATTTTTTTTTTAAATGTATATGAATAAGTCTAGCCGATAGCCCCCAGCTGTACTTGGCTTTAATGTAATGTAATTAATCGTAATTATTTTTCATTCAAATAAATAAATAAAAATTTCCCATTTGGTGTATCGATTCCCTTTCTCTTAGGCATTTGGTAGCAAATACGTCCACCGTCGGGAACTTTTTAACCATTTCTCCTCTTCGCCGCATGTTGGTGTGATTATCTTATTCACTCAGTTTCATTACATTACGACATGAAGAAAATATACTTTTCTGCTCTAATTGTATATTTGGTTTGGCAAAATGTTTGTTATTATATGGTTAACAGCGTCTTTACATTACGTTATAACATTTGCTATTGCTGTACTCTTACAAACTGTTGGATGAGGCTTTGTATGCATTACCCAATTGATACATAAAATTAATTGATTCGGTATGTGTTTGGCTATCCTATGGTTAACTAAAATTAAGTGATTGGATATTTTGTGTCATACAAAAGGTAAGTAATTCGGATAACAATCGATTTGTCAGTTTCCTTAAAGAAGAAAGAATACTTTAATGCATTTACTTTTTTATTTATTTAAAATGCAATATAAAGCAATAATTGTTTATTTTAAATTTAACAAATATGTTCCTACATACGTTTGTTTTTTTTTTTTCAAATAAAGTTGTTACATATATAAATAAATATATATTGATATGAATAATATATAAATGAATAGACGTATTACAAATGCATATTCGAAGCGTGTTTATCATATTGGAATTTTCGGTAATTTTTATACTTCGCAAACTTCAAGAAATAAAGCAAAAAACCATAGTCGCTGATTAGTTTAAAACAAATTGTTAGTTATAAACATTTGCTTATGTCCTAAATATGTCTGATGCAAGATAATAGGTGAAATTTCAACATTGTATTAATATTAATAGTTGTCTAAAAATCTCTGTTAAGCAATGGCAAACAGTTTGTATGGACATTCTAACCTAAAAACGTTTGTTTGATTATTTTAACAGAGCTTTTTATGTAGGTTAAAATAACCATGTTAGATATTATGTATATTTAACATAACCAAACCCCAATTGAATTGCTAAAACCGCCCACCCGACCATATGTATTTATGACATATGTATACAAGGTGTGTTCAAAAAGTATCGCGAATTTTGATTTTTCGCGGGTTACGTATAATCGAATTTCGATTTTTTTGTGGCGTTATGTTGGTACTCATGTCTGTCACTTATGCCGACAAACTCGGCCATTTTGAATGTTCACTTAATTGTTGACAGCTGCTTTGCTTGCACGTTTTTTGGATGGTCTTCGATTTTTACCTATTCAAAAAAAATGGATCAAAGAATCTGTATCAAATTTTGTGTGAAAAACGAAATTAGGTGCGCAGATGCATTCCGAATGTTGTCTGTGGCATACGGAGAAGCTACCTTGGACCGAAGCAACGTTTATCGGTGGCACCAAATGTTCTCAGTAGGCCGAGAAGATGTGAACGACGAAGAGCGAGCCGGACGCCCGAGCACTTCAACAACAGACGAAAAAATTAATAAAGTGGAGAAAATGGTTTTGGCCTATCGTCGAATCACCGTTAGAAAAGTTGCTGAGGACCTAAACATTTCGATTGGCTCATGCCATTAAATTTTTATCAATAATTTTGGCATGAGACGGGTCGCCGCGAAATTCATACCAAAATTGCTCAATTGCGACTAAAAACAGCATCGCATGAACATTGCTAAAGAGATGTTGGACTCTGTCCGCGACGACCCAGAGGGTCATAACTGGTAACGAATCGTGGGTTTATGGTTATGACGTAGAAAGCAAAGCTCAATCATCTCAATGGAAACTGCCGCACGAACCAAGACCGAAAAAAGCGCGCCAAGTTCGATCGAATGTGAAAGTTTTGCTGACAGTTTTCTACGATTGCAGAGGCGTGGTGCATCATGAGTTCTTGCCATAGGGTAGAAAGGTCAATAAGGAATATATCTGCAAGTTATGCGCAATTTGCGCGAAGCAATCCGCAAGAAACGCACGGATTTGTGGAAGAACAAAAATTGGCTTTTGCACCACGATAACGCCCCTGCTCACATATCATTGCTTGTGCGCGATTTTTTGGCCAAAAACAACGCACTAATGATGCCGCAGCCACCGTATTCCTCAGATCTGTCCCCCTGTGACTTTTACTTGCTCCCTTAACTGAAGAGGCCCATGAAAGGACGACGTTACGGAATGATTGACGAGAGAAAGACGGCATCGAAGGAGGAGGATATTCATCAATAATTAAATAATTTTTGAAAAAACACAAAATTCGCGATATTTTTTGAACACACCTCATACGCTTACCTTATGTTCTCAACATGTTTCATTGAAGTCCTTCAAAACGACCGAAAATCCCTCCTTACAAGCAGCTGGTCAAGCTAGTTTTTAGCAATCAAACCTCTGTAGCAGAAAGAGCTTACGTTGGTCCAATTCACAGCTCCGCACTGAAGGAGTTCTTCATATAGCTCCTCTTCAAAAGGAAAGAAATTTTAGATAATATACCATTCATATACATATTCGATATGCTGTTAACTTACCTTGTTTCTTAATTTTTCGATGCTTAAAATCTGCAACGGAATTTAATCCTATCAAAATGTAACAAAGAAATATGCAAATTTAATTAATAAAAATTGTAAAATTTGCCATCTTACCTCTTAGCCTCTGTGAATTGAAAAAGTATATGGCGCAACATGTGTATGTCTTTCTGACATAAATTATCCTGTAGGATCGAATGTGAATGTAGTGGTAACGTGGCGAAGGTTTGACATTTCCTGATAAGGACCTTTTAGTTTTTGATCTGCATGGAGCTCGAGCCCGCCTCACAGTATACTTGAGATTTCTGATATTAAAAATTATAAAAAATTAAATCGAATATTCCATAATTTTGGAGCAAAGGAAATAAAAATACAGTGCTGATGAGCAAATGAATGTTTGTACCAGTTTTACATGAAATAAACGATTGCAGAGGCTGGAATAAAAAATCGTGTTTTTATTAAATTTGAAGCCACACCATCTGTAGAAGTAGAAGTTCATTGAATTTTTGATTGTTAACACACATGATGTGCTACTTTAACTACACGTGTTGTGATATGTAGATGTGTGTGAATATACGCATTGCAGTTATTCAATTAAATAAACCGGTTAATACAATTTCGATTGCAGACTTTAGAAATATGTATATATGCCTGTGCCTGTGTATGTATCAACACAAAATTAAGAAGTTTCTAATTTCTGCTAATTAATTTTTTGTTATTATTTTATTATTATTATTGTATTATTATAAATGATATTTTTGAAAATTGTTTAAACCTAAGCGGTAGAAGCTCGATTCTGTTGTCTTCTTCTTCTCTTTCACACATCTTAAACAGCATTTTTTGTAGACTTTAACGGTAGCAACACTCAAGTTCAACCCTCAGCTGGTATATTAATATTTTTCTACAATTTTCTTTTTAAATGTTTTAAATAGTCTCTCTCTCTATGAAGGAAGGGAAGTCATTTTTCTTCCGAGTCGTTTCCTTATTTACGTTGTTTGATTTTGTTGTTGTAGCCGCAAAGTTCTTTTTGGGAAATGTTGCGGGAGTGATCCGCGATGTCTGATCTCCAAAGTTGGCGCTTAATAACTGCTGAAGCAATTTTCGGGTGGAAGCGAACCACCTCCTACAATTTTTGGTTTTACTATTTATGTTTTTTCCAACCAATACTGGACCCTCCAACTTATTCAAAGCCGCATCTGAACAGCTGTTGGATTTTTATAAGAAGCTTTGATTTACATGTCAGAAGTACTCTCGGAGATGCTAGATCCCCGTTGAAGGGCGAGCACAATAAGAAAATTTATTTTAAATAAAATTCGGATTAATTTTCCATAATTTTTTGATCATTAATATTAATGTTAATCCTATTTCTCTCCAAAAATGTATTAAAGCGAGTGAGTTCAATGACTCTTAATTGGTTAATTTTAACAAAGCAGTAAGGCCAGGTTATTTCAAACTCAACTATCTCCATTGAATATTTATCTGATTTCAAACTGCCCAGCAGAGAATTCAAGCTATGCAGATGAGAAAAGGTTGTAGCAATGCGTAATCGGAACTATCCAAACGTAAGCTAGATTGTGACCTTCAAGCTGGCGGAGTCTTCCCTACCTATAAATGTTTCTCTCTGGGCTAGAATGACCTCACAACCTACGCAATTATTGAGGTCTTGTCCATCGATCTTGAAATTAACGAAAAGTCAAGCATCCCATAGATAAATTGCGGCTCCTTAATTCTATGCTCGATGGAAGTAGTTAATTCCTACATAGTCTCGGCAAAAATATGAAGATATTTATCAAGTTGTAGAAAGTCGATCTTTTTAACACCCGAAAGCTTGTAATTTATTGCTGCAGAGGTGAGCGAACTGTATGCTATGCGTGCCAAAGTCGTCTACAATAGAATTTCCGCAGCATTTCAAAAGAGTAAGCCAAACTGCTTCTAAGCCTCTAATTCCCTCATGTAGATCAGACAGAAAAAAACGTTATAGTTCGCTTTTTCTCTGTTTTGTTTCTTTTCAATTTATTGTTTATCTTTAATTAAGTAAGTGTTTGCAAAAAAAAAAAGAATGCGTGCGTGCAGTCACAGCCAAATCAACAAATATGGCTTAGAGGTTGTGTAGTGTGGTAGGCGTTTGGGTATGTTATGATCCATGTTAGCAGCTACCGCCGCCACCACCACCACCACCACCACCGCCGCCACCACCGCCTCCGCCACCACCGCCACCACCCCCGCCACAAAGACCACCGCCACCACCGCCACCGCCGCCGCCGCCTGGCAGAGGCTCAGGCACTGGGTATGGAAGGGCTGAAAAATATCAAAAAAAAAAAATGAATAAATAAAATGTTTATATTTTTGCAAACCAAATTATTTTAATAACAACTTGTGTTTTTGAATTTTATAATTGTCTTCTGAAACCACTTAGCTAACCGCAATCAGTTGAACGCAGATTTTACTCACCGCTTACGGCCACCAACAGGCCGAACAAGAAGCTCACAAAAGCAAAGATTCTCATTTCGCGACTAAAGTGTGCTGTCGTTTACTTTCAATTCAAAATCGTTTCTGCTATTTATACCGAAAAACTGTAGTAAAATTCGATAATATGTGTTGTTCTGGGGGATTGCCGGCGCTGCTGACGCTTAACGACGTCACGCTTACACCAGTCTTCGTTTCAGTGAACTTTTTAATATTTGTTGTTATTGTAATTAAACACATATTGCATTGCAGTCGTTTTCAATTTTTTCAATCACACTTTGGCGGCTTCGTTGCGTTATCAGCAGGTTTCACCGACCGAAGGAAAAAATCAAAACGAAAAGTACAATCAAATTCACATCAAATGCATATAGAAGCGACGTATAACCCAAACAAATAGAGTTGAGCTTATAATAAATCAAACAAATAAGTATCGAATTCAAATAAAATACATACAAATATACATACATACATACATACATACATACATACATAGAGAACAAACCTACGTACATACATAGGGCGTCTAAATAAATTAAAATTAAATTATCATCTTAGCAATAATCAGTGGGATTTTCATTACCTCAATTCTAAGTAAGGTTAACAGCTTCCCTGTAAATAATTACAATAACTTTTTAATGCACAAAGCCCAGCACATCGCAATGCCCATCGTTTGCTATAAAAGACCTACGCAAATGCCAACCTTCAAGCACAGCTAACGAATTGTTGCACCTGTCGCACCGGCAAACAACCCAAAGGCAAAACTCCACGTTTATTTACTGTTATCGACGTATACTTACCGTTAAGCAACATGAAAACTTTCTCACTTTTCGTTTTGGTTCTGCTCGGCTGTCTATTGATGTTCAACCCGGCATCGGCTCAGTGGCTTGGTTTCGGCCGCGGCGGTCGTGGTGGCAGCAGCAGCAGTGAGGAGAGCGGTGAACGTGGTGGCAATGGCGGCGGTTACTCTGGTGGCCGTGGCGGTCGTGGTGGCGGTGGCTCCCGCGGCGGCTATGCTGGTGGACGTGGCGGCAGTGACTATTAATAGTTTTTGTGCACCTTCAAATAAAATCACAATATTACAGGCATATTCCGAAAGGAAAATATGACGTATTTTGCATGAGTATTATTAAATTGTATAACTGTTTATACCAATATTTTTTGGCATTTTCCTTTAATATTATATTAGCAGTCTTTGACTTGAAAAAGTGATAATCTTGGGCGGAGTAAATTTGGGTCAACCTTAGGGCCTAGAACCGTCGGGGAAACTAGCGGAAAAGAGAAAGTCATACAGACCGATATCTTTTCTCTCTGCAGTAGCAAAGATACTTGACTCCTTGCTGCTACATATTCAATTACGCAGTGTTACTCTCCTTATTACCATCGGGGTTAATGATGTCTCAACCCCAAACTCAGTAAAAAGAGACTAGGGGGTGCATTCCCTCATAATTTTTTTTAATTTTTACAATTCACATCTCCTTTCCCCACTAGAAGGTGTATTCTTCTTCTTATATGCTGATGACTGCCAGATATTGGCATCTGGCATCTTTGTTCATACGTATCTGTCTGATCTTTGACATTTCTTTCAACTGAACCACCGATGTACCACGCGACCATTTGTAATAGCCGGATGAAGAAATACCTTCCCGACCTGAACGTCAAGGTCAATGACGGAAAAATTTCGACAACATGCACCTCTTAAACCCATAATACTACCTCGATGTTTACCTAAATACATATAAATGGCGCTTGGTAATGGGTGAAGCCATTTTCTGCCGAGCTCTTCTTCCACTTTGTGGTATGCATCTTGATGTTTCCTAAATATATTCCTATCTGCATCAAAATTATCAAAACGTTAGCCAGCTTCATCGACAGAAGAGGCAAAGAGTCAATTTCAGCACCGGATCTCGGCTGATGATGTCTCTATGTCATTGGCAATGCGAGGTATTTATGTTCACAGTTGAGGAGCACAATGTTTTGTCGGATAGACAATGAATACATTTTTGGAATCTACGTTCAAATACGTTTAGTGCACAAATTGGGTGTTTTCTATTTCAATTCATCGCAAAATTTCGATCGAGAAAATCCCATGAAGTCTTGGTCGGCGGATTGGTAAAGTACAGAGTAAATTGCTCTGCTTCAAAGAGTTTGTTAAATGAAATAATTCTATTAAGTAAATAATACTTGTATTTTCGTCATTCTGATGATAGAAACAAACTTGCTCCGCAATATTTTGCAGCTCATTTGGTCTATTAAATTTAAAGAATTCAAAATCTGCGAAAATTGTACAAAAATGATAATAAATCATAATCCTTGGGCAGATTACATAACTCCTGCGATGCCGTTCGAAAATGCAGCAAGCACATAGAATTTTAAAATAGGTTGATTTAGAAAAGTTGTAAAGTTGTACATTGTGTATTGGAATTAGTTGGAAATATTTTCTTAATTAATTTGAAATCAAGTCTCATCACAAGGAGGAGGGGCGCGGCTGAAAATACATGCAGCGGCTATAAAACCGATTTCAAGCAGTTTATTCTAAGCCGCCCTGGAACAGCTAAAGGTTTTTTTTATGTGGAGATTAGATTTCCTTGTTAGAAATACACTCCGAGGGCGAATACCAACTCACCCTGGGGTGACCACAGTTAGGAAAAAAATACTTAATTTTTTATTCAAATTAATTTTCTTTAATTTCAAATGTTGATCGGACCAGAACGTGAACGCTGACATTTGAAAGGAACGGCAGTACACATATATACTATACATATAATAAAGCAATTAAACTTTTTACATTCTCATTACTTATACGCCCTGTCTCCACACTTTGTCCTGCTTCTGGCAACTGAAAAAAATAACTAAAAAAAGCATTTTCATTCCTTCATTAATATCTGTATGTACTCAAAACCATAATCAGACATAATATATGTATGTAATATGTGTAATATTATACACGTATGCCATCTGTTATCTGTATTTATATGTATGTATGTACATACGAGTATAGCATATTTCTTAGAAAATGTATTAATGAAATTGATTTGCGCTGATCGTGTACCCATTTTTTATTTTTAGCTCAGAAACTAGATTTGATTTCTGAGAAAAATTGCACACTTTAGTACTGTGGAGACATATTTATATGTAAATGCATTTTTAAATATATTTTTACAATCCATATGCATGCATATGAACACGTTTACGAGTATGTATGTAAGTACACGAATTTAAGTAGAATTTGTAGATAATTCAATAATAAAATTACGCAATGCAACAGAGCTCAAGTTAATTCTTGACACTAAAAGCCAATGAAATTCACATGTATATATATATGTTTGTATACGCGTTGTACCAAATCGTTCTTTATTGAAAAATTATTTTAAGCAGTACATATTTACCATTCTCTGTACTGTAAATTTTCTGTTTTATTGACGAAGAACTAGGTCAATTGATTTTCAGCGGTCCTTCGATTGACGACCAATCATTTACCATCAATAGAGTTTTGCAGAGACGGATAAAATGTCCCAACTGCAGGAGATATGCATCAAGACTTTGCAACCAAGCTCCAATTTTTTCCTAGTTTTTAAAGATGTATGTATGTGGTCCTACGTTCTGACAATTAAGCACAACACCTTTTCTATTGACCAATTCCGAACGCTTTTTGTTTCACATTTAAGTGTTTGACCCACTAATGTCGCTCTCAGAAGCATTTCATTGATGTTAATTCAGTCAATCAAATTTTCAAGGAATTTACATGAAATACCTCACCAGAATGTTTATATGAGTAATGATAGAACACCATTTCTTTTATACGGCTACCGCGACTGCCCTTGCCATAGCCCTTTCTGTCGACCCAATGGCGCTACAATGGCGACTTGAGTTTTATGTTCAAATCATAACCAAGCTCCAAACTGTTGAAGTATTATTTGTTACCCTAGTGGGTGAAGTGAAAATGGGCTTCAATGAGAAAGATGTTTTTAGTAAAAATTATCAACTTTTGCCAGACAAACTCCAGCCCATTAAGTGAAATCGCATGGTATTGTCATCAAGTCCTACACAATGTCTAATTACCTCGGCGGGTGTCGTGTCAGAACAATATTTTCCTGTTCGAAATAAGTTTTCAATATTTCATTTCGTTAACCGCAAACAGAATGTTGAATACATCGGTAATGCCATTGAGAGAAATGCCAAGGCAGAAGACCACAATATCAAATCATATATTGGAAAATTGACGACTGTTGCCAAATTCTTAGAATATCAACCAAAAACAAAAAAAGAAAAGACGAATTGTTTTGCTAAACATTTAAGTCAGGTGTTCCAACCAAATGATGCCTCTAGTAATTTTATGTTGCCTAAATTAAGAGAGAACAGTCTTGAAACTGAGGTGATGTTTACAGTAGCAACCATGGAACTTGCAAATACGACTAAGCAATTGGACCCAAACGAATCTCCAGGCTATGGCCTTATTACACAAAAAAAAACGCTAAAAGAGCTGTTAAGAGTTGCCCTATCGTCGCTTTGTGAACTCCTTAACGCCATTCCGAGACTAAGTTACATACCAAAAACGTGTAAAAAGTCTAAGATTAAACAGACAAAGACCCCAAACAGGCCTCTTCTTGGATGCTAATAATCTCAGAGTAAAAATCCTAAATTATTTGAAAGAATTCTGCTGTCTAAGATATCTCTTTTTCATCGTAACAAAGTGATACCTGAACATCAATACGGTTTTCGTGAATACATAAACCGAATTACTAATCAAATTAAGAAAGCATTCGAGTTCAAGGAGTATTGCTAGGCAACATTTCTTGGCTTGGCATAAAGATCTAATGCACATAATTTATAATATTTTGCCTATACAATTCTAAAATATAATTGAGACATTTCTTACTAGCAGGCGGTTTACCGTAAGACAATCGGAACTTATCAGTAAGGAGCCTCCAGATACGTGTAAGGCTAGTATTCCTCAAATGAAGCATTTTTGGGCCTATACACTTAATAATATGGTCGGGTTATCCACTTACGCGGCTGACACGACCATATTATGAATAGAAGAGCATCAAAAATGGTCGGAGACCAGAGGTTCCAGTGTTTCAGTCCAAAACTCATGG